TTTTTTTAAATCCAGCTTGAGATAGTATTTAACGTACGTAGAAGTTGTCTTCAAGCATGGTTTTTAGTAAATATAGACGATATTTCCATATTTAGAAGGTAATATATCAACCATATTCACCTGATTTTAACGTTTTTCACATGCTAAATTTAAACAATTGTTATTGTAACATAGCGAATCCTTAGAAAATGGAAATCTAGAGTAAGTAACCTTGTAGTTACTATAAAGGTATAGGTTTTTTTGTTGAGGTTACTAAGAATTTAAAAATTATTTAATATTAGAAGTACTTCGTTTCTTTGTTTCTAGAAAAGTGAATAATCAACCACCTACACTACTACCAGCTCCATACTTTCTTATGATAAAATCTGTACTAGCAAAATACAGAGAATTATTTTTTTTTTTTAATTATTATAGTACTTTTTGTTCTTTGAAAGCTACTAGTTATACGCTTTTTTTTGTAATAATAATCATTCTAGTATTATATACATTCCAATAGTCATCGTTACGTAGTTTTTGTTTGATTAGGAATATTGAAAATCGATCTTTTATTATTATTGTACCAATTTCAAAAAACAAGCTATATAAAAAAGTTGGTCAAAAACAAGTATGTAATAAATTTACTCAACTTTTTCATTATAATTCACCCGACATTTTCATAATCACTTTAATTTTTTTATTAGTGGAATCCAATCAGCATCAACGACATCAACGACAGCCAGCATATAAATTACCTTGCGCTTTGGCTGCTTCAGTTTTGTTGCATGATGGTTCTGGGTTGTTATCATGTGAAACTAAAGAGTCTCAAACAATTCGGCATGCGGATAGTAAATTAGCAAAAAGTCGTCTTCCCTTGTATAATAGCTTTTTTCCTGAATTAATTCCAATTCAAACACATTTAGAAGATTTTTCTTTATGTGAAAAACACTATAACCAACTTATTGTATCCGATTTCTTACGACAAGTTCTTTTAAATGCAAATTATTCGCAATCGTCTAATAAACAAAATAAACAAAAGCGGCAATTACATGATGATTCTGAAAATGAATTGGTTGAAAAACAAGCTCGTATGGAGCATGCTTATAAAATAGGGGAAAAAAATACTTGTGAAATTGGCATTCAAACTGATAAGATCGGTGTACAAATTACTAATGAGACCTGTGAAATTGGCGTTCAAGTATCTGATATTACGTCGCATGCTCTTGAAAGTCAAGTTTATTTACTTCGATTACAATTAAATTCGAAAATAAGCGAGATAGAAGATCTTAAAAA